CGAAGAGAAGTACAAAATTAACTGTTGAATTTTAAACTAAATTACAAATATGAACACTTTATCATTGATTTTATAACAGAACCAAAAAAAAAAAAAAAAATAAAACAGACATCAATCAAAAATTTTATTCATGTTATCAGTTTTTTTAAGCAACTCAAAATGTTGTATACTCACATATTTTAAATAGTTATAAATAATTAGAAATTAAATTATAATATTTTTTGAATAACTATGTGTGTATTCAATTCAATGTAATATAATGGAACCTTGATATCTTGAACTCGGGTATCTAACTGGAAATTTCAGTAGGTCGAATTTTTTTTTATAAGTCAAATTCATTATCCGGTACCTACCACATATTACGATTCACTTACTCGTTTATATGGCGAATTGAATAAAGTATAAAATGACCATAGGATAAAACATAATATAAATAACAGTTCTTACACCTACTATGCTATATATAACAGCGGCAGCTCATAGGGTTCATAATATGTTATGTATAAATATTTTATCCCCAGATGTACGATCTATAAGCAAAAAACAAAAAATAACAGTTTGTTTTAGAACATTTACATTCTTTGAAACTTCTTTTAAATTTGGTATTAGCCTACCTTTTTAATTTTTCCTTTTTTTCAAGAGGTTATGTTAATTTAACTAAGAAAATAACACATTTTACTTGATTACATGAGGAATATATATTTAATGATAAATTATGATTTTAGACCATACTACAAGTTCTAGTTCATCAACCACGTCATTACCTTCATCGATATTTCACAAAATGACGACTAAAATAATTAAATTTTAAAATAAAAAGATACAGTCTCTCATGTAGTGATAGTTGTACAGGACACTACGATCGGATTAATTATTTAACGACGTAGCACATTCGATGTTATATTGAGACGTAATGTTGAGAGAGATAGGTATTTGAATAATTAAACACTTGTATGTTAACCTTATAAAACTTACTGTTTTTATTAATGTATCACAATAAAATAACAAACAGTTAAAAACAAAAAAAAAATAAAAAACGAGTTATTCTGTTCAAGAATTATATACTCACGGTGATGTGGTTGTAACAAAGTCCACGACAAGTAATAATTTATTAATAAGAGAAATGGCCAGTATAACACTGTCTATTAGAACTACCTATCTACTTCTGAATAATGCTAAATGCTCAACCCGTATTTATACAAGTTCTAATGACGAAAAAGTGGCGTAATTCTAATTTAAGGTCGATTTATCATTATTATGTTGATAGATAAAAAACTACTAGTTTCACCTTTGCCATAAATGTATTTCACGTAATATCTTTTTTAATACTTATACTATTTTATATCACATTATTTATATACCATTTATATAAGCATCATATATTATTCATATAATCATTTATACAACATATTTATTAATAGATACTTGTACTAATTTGTATCACATTATTAGATTATGCTGAGTATTGGGTTTACTACATCCACAAATATAAAATCAATGCACTTCAAGAAAGCAACAATAAAAAAGGTACATACATCTTGTGTATTTATATAGATTTAGTGAGTTTTATTAACTTGACACGTTTCTAAATTAATCGACCACCAAACTGATTTTTTTTTAAACTTTAAATGTTATTTAAATGTTAACAATATTTAACTATTAATTGTTTTTAGCTCAAAATTTTTCAAAAGATGAAACCATGCAGAATATGTGGTTTCACATACTCTTCAGGTATATTTTCAGTTAAATTTCTAAGGCATTCTTATATATATAAAAAAAAAAAAAAAACCATTGAATATTCTGAAATGAAATAGTTAACAGTTAATTTCAACTAAAAGGATATTCTAACACTTTCCTAAAAATACTATGTACAATTAACTGATTAATATTATCAATGTTTAACCATAAAATAGTTAAATAAATTTAATATATATATTAGAATCATTATGTATTAAGTTACCTAGTTATACACTTTATTAGTATACTTTTTAGTGATTATCAACAAAAAAATGATACGATTATGTTAATTACCAATTTCACATACCTAATTGTTTATTTGTTATCGGTACGATAATTTCAGAAACAATTACCAAAGTTCATTTAGAATCTACCAGAATAAATATAGAGTATAGGATAACAAAAAAGGCCAAAATAACGAGACACTTGTTTACAGTTCATAACTCATATCATGTTGAAGATATTGACAGAATAATGTAAGATGAACAAATAAATGACAATATGCCCAAATTTAACTTGAAAGATTTTCAGAATTCTGATACTCTGTTGAAAATTTACCTTGAGCTAATAAAGAAACTGGTAAAATTATTTATGAAACTAAAGTTTTATTTTTATTGATAAACCTGTTATTTTATTTTTTAGAAATGTTTTATGTTGATAAACATAAAAAGTTGCATGAAGTAACAGAAAATTTAACTGCGGTTATGCCGCGTATAATGTCAAAAGATGTTCAACTTTTGTATAGTGCTTTTAGGAGAGAAACCAATGGCAGTAAAAAACTGAATTTTTCAGCAACATAGACATACAAATACTTATTTTGTATTTAATATTGTTAATATTTTTTTGTAAAATCAAATATTTTCTTTTATTTATTTTTGTAATTCATGTAATTCAGAAGTCATTACTACCAAAGATTTGGGTCTAAAATTAAGGATATATCGAGCAAACTTAGCCGATGGTTTTCAGGTCCCAAGGACCATGAAAGTGGGAAGAAAGGCAATATTATAAAATGATAAAATCCAGCGATACAACAAAAAATAAAATAATAAAAAAATAGAGTTCTGATTGTATATAAATAAGTTTTGTCATTAAATTATACATTAAAGATTATATTCTCAAAAATTAAGTACAGTTTGATAACTAAGAGTATTTTATTGTTTAATTTGCATGCATAAACATATTTAGGTTATAATATAATGTGGATTTTAGTCAACTTTTTAATAGTTACTACATTCTACTATTTTGATTATTGTTCAACACCTAGAATAAATTTCTAATTTTGGGGATACTAGAAATTGTATTAATATAGTTTGTATATTATATAGACTAATTTTATGAGAAAAGATATTAGGTATCTCCATACCAGACTTATACTAGTTATACATCTTCATGTAAAATCGATACTTTGTCAGTACATGGCTACCACTAGACTAGTCCAGATTACTATTGTTCCTGTAATTATAATTGCTACTGTACCACTATAATAGTATTTTGTACTGCACCAGCTATGTAACTTTGGTACTGCGTTAGTTGCTAGTCTGAACTGGTCCAGCACTGAAGGTCAGTATTAAATTTCAGTACTAAATACCGTTATCATCCCAGATATATGCCAGTACTGGTGCCAACACTGGCTGCCAGTAATGTGCCAGCATTAGCCAATACTGACGAAATTCCACGTCTGTTGTAGATTTCCGATTGGGATGGGTGGCACAGAAAAAGTTAACTTTTGTAATTGGCTAATATTAAAAGCCTACATGATTCAAAAATCATTACCAATATGCATTTTTTTAAAAAATCGTGTACGACCCTCAATTTTTTTAAGCTTTTTAACATAAAACGTGTTAAATACATTTTATATTAAAAATACAAGTTCATCTCAATAAATAAACATTTTTATTTCAAATTTTAATTATATCTTAAATTTCCTCGGTAACTCGAAATTTCGATATGTCTATTTTTTTTTGTTCCTTGAGACTTAAGTCACCAAAGTTTCACGGTATTACATTATTATTCTTGATTTACCGTTTTATAATTTTTTCCACTTTCGTTTTGTGTTATCAATCGATGTATGTTATCAGTTTTGTCCCGTACCAAAGAAATTACATTAAGCAGTGACTTCTGTATATTAATTAAAATTTTTACCACAACCCTGACAAAAGTTAAACATTTATAAAATAATTAATAAATATTATTTCTTAAGTTTATTGATATCATAATGAAAATCGTTTTATAAAAATGTAAAATATTATATATGTGAATTGTTATTCATCAAATATTTTATTAGGTACATTTGATAATAGTTTATTTAATGAAATATCATACAATGTGGTTATAATATCTTAATAAATGATAGCAACATTAATATTTTTGTTTGCATTTAATAGCTTTGATTATCTTTATGTATGAAACATATTGTTTGTATTATTTTTATTTTTTGATGTTTTCATATTGTTATTATATTATTATTTTTGCGATTCCTAAAACACTGTAATATAATTATTATTCTTTTATAATTAAAATAGTACTAAAAAATCATAAAGACTAATAAATGCTGGTATTATATAGAAGTTGAATTGAAAATGAGTTTATTAAATTATAAGTTGTGTAAATTTACATAAAACAATGATTTATACAATATTATTAATATAGTTATTTACATTTTAATATTCTTGCTCGATGTACAAGTAATCCTAACTACGGAAGGAATTCGAAGTGCTGGTCGAATAAGCTTCTCAAGAGCCTGTATTGAGAGCTTCTTGGAAATTTCTATGAAATATACAAGAAAGTGTATGATCTTTAAACGGAAGCCTTTAAAACGTTTTTTAATAGGAAACTTTAAATAGTATATTATTTTAATCTTTACCGGAACTTCCATTGAGATTTTCCAAAATGTTTAAATGTCCAAATTTTAAACAGGTTAGGTACAATACATGATTATGCATATTACACATAATCGTAGAATCAAAAGTACCTCGAGCTTACTATCATGTTTGGCGTGCACACGATTGTAGCATACAATAAAATATACCTAGACTACCGTGAAAAAAAAAAAATAATTTTTATTTACACTTGTTAACTCGTAAATCGTGTCCGGAGATTGGGAACTCAATCGAGATATTTTCATGAACTATATTGTGTAACGTATAATTTTTCTATTTAATCGGATATTCATAACGTTGTAACAATTTTCAACTCACTGTTGTTTTATATTAACAATTAAGAACACATTTGATACAAATATAGGACCGGAGAACACACAACCGTTTCGTGTCTGGATATATTTCGCATTACGACCGGTCAATCGTACCGACCGTTAAAGATCAAGATCCACGTTATTGTTTTCCAATTCTTTTATCCTCCGGTGTTTGGTTTTTATGATCTCGTACAACATGTCGATCTCCATTTTCAACGATCGCTTATCCTCTTCTTGCCGATTCTAAGGGACGAACAGCGCACGTGACGTTACATACGAACTACTACTATTACTACTACTACTGCTACTACCAGTGGCGGATCCAGGATTTTCTTTTGGGGGGTAGGGAGTTTTGAAAAAGATTTTCTCTTGGGATATTTTTTATAACATTGCAGTCAGTGATTGATAATGAATTAAGATAATAATAAGTAATATAAGACATTAATTTAAACCAAGGCTACTAATTACTTGTATGAATAAAAATATAAATTACGAGTATATACTTTCCCTCATACTTAAAAAAAAAAAAAAAATCTTTTTCTTAATTCTAAAATTATTGATTTTATATATATATTTTTCCTAATTTTGGGGGTTAATCCCCCCCCCCCCGTGGATTCGCCACTGGTTGTTACTAACGAAGTATCGGTGCAGTCTCTGCGCGACCGAATCGGCGTCTATGTCTAACGAGTCGTCCCGTGACGGTTTCGCGTCATACATCCGACGGCCGACACTGCCCGACGATCCGGTCGCGACGATCTCGACGCAAACGATCGGAGTGGTCTGCGTGATCGCGTCAGCTCGACCCGGTAACGCGGACGTCGGCTGCTGCTCCTCTCCAGTCGGCGGATGGTCGTCCAAGCACCGGCGGTGGAAGACCAGCTTGCACGCTGTCGCCCGGCAAAATGAACGGTTAAAAGATGGCAGCAAAAAACAACCCCACCACCAGTGGTGGTGCCAGGATTATTCGCCAGGTATGGCCAATGGGAGACCAATAATTATAAGGCTGGGCCACAAAAAATGAGATTTCAACAAAAAATAAATAAATAATAAGAAAAAAACAATTAAAACGAGCTGATTACTATGTTTAAAAACTTTTAACGATTACAACATGTAAACAAAACTACTTTAAAATATTACCATTATTTAATGTTTTCTGCTTATGAAAAATGACTTTATTATTATGTCTAATGTCGGGTCAGTGGTAGGGCTACTGGTAGGACCACTGGTAGGACCAGGCATTTTAAGGTAGGGTCATGGTCCTACGTGGCTCGTCCCTGGCACCGCCCATGCCACCCCCATGCCAGTTCGCTGCACATGAATTGCGTCCCGAAATCCCTTTTCCACATGAATTGCGTCCCAAAGATATTTAACGACTACACGAATTTGTATCCATCAATATTAAATAATGTTTTATTTTTTTCGCTTAAAATCACCGAAGTCATTTTATAGTGTTTTTAGAGTTTGAGTTTTATTTAACAGAGAATGAAAGTTACACAAACATTTACACCAACAACACGATTGAAATCGAACTAAAATTATTATAGGCTTTACAGTACGTGCAATCGTTTAAACAAAACCGGACGCAATTCATGCAGTAGATTAGATAATGCCGGACGCAATTCGTGTACCCGCTTATCAAATTTTTTATTTCGGGACGCAATTCGTGTGTAGCCTGCCAGTGAAACCGGTCTCACCTGAACACTTCAGCATGGTTTCGAAGCACGCCCGTCGGCCGCAAAAACAACACGTTCTCAACGAACAACTCGCCTCGATGATCGCGTGCCTACCGTCGCAACCTCGCCCACCGGCCTTGCTCCTTTTCATAATATCGTTCTGGATGCCGAATCCTGTACGAATGCGATCGTACGTTTGTGTTATTTTGCTCTTTATTCACGGCAAAACCCGACCGATCGCAATGGCGCACGCGAAACGCCGGTGTTTGTGTACGTATCGCGATGGTAAACCGCGAAACGTTGGTAACGCACTGTGTTGCGTCGCGTTGGCCTCGCCGGTACGGTGATTCAAACGTTGCGATCAAAAATGTAACTTTTCCGGGAGAATCCGAGAGAAAAAATTAGGCGAAAATCGAATTCCTGTACACGCGAAAGCTTTGCGCAACGTATAAAGTAGTGTAAAAGACGACCTCCGAATTACAAAAGTCTTATTTCACTAGTCTTGTTGGTGTACAATCGTATGTGGATCCAAAAAAAAAAAAAAAAAACAATTCACCTACATACCCGCTACGATATCACTGCAGTTGATATTATTTTATTATCACACAACAGCGGTGCCTGTCATACTTGATCTTCTACGCGTTTACGAATTCCGATTCAAAAATAAGGCCTGGAATCTTATTTGTTCTCGTAGCGAATACAAATAATATCCTGTTCACGGTATTGTAGAAAGAGCCGTATTCGATTTCGTTTATCAGATGTGATTCCCTTTTGCTTTTTACTCTCAGGACAGTATTTCAAGTAAAGAGTAATTTCTTTAATTTCCACACTAATATCTCGAAAAATCGTTTTCAAATATACTTTGTATTGTTCAACATAATCAAACAGTAGGTAAAGTACATTGTAATTTCGATTAATCACGACGAAGACAATATACAGTAAGGATCTAGAGGAGAACTATATATATTTTCAAATCTCGTCAACGTAAAAGTGCCACCACCACTCGAGTACACAATCATGTACCATCTGCCCGGTAATCGAGATACACGTCTTCAACATCGGAAGCCATAAAATATTTTTAAATTAGTTTCTAAATTTACCAATCTAAGTCAAATTAATGTGTACATTTGCTACTCGAAGCAAATCATAATTTTGAGATTATTTGCATGCTTTAATGTAAACAAAACTCGCTAAAAGAACGACACTATTATCAACAATAATTTGTTGAACTAAATTTAATCTCGAAAAACATATCAGCTTATTTAGAAATAAACAAAATTATCTATTGAAAATAGATTTTTATATAATTTTGAATTAATTAACCTTTTTATTTTACTTTCATATGGATGTTTTATTGTAATCCAATTCATATTTTTATGATTAATCGTTATTTAAAATATGATTTTAGCCGTTTGCAGTTTTCTGATCACTTCAATGACTTCCACTGCTGTACGTACTAATTTCAGTGTTATTTATAACCATAGTTTTGTATATATATATATATTATTCACTACAGTTTAGGTGAAAAAGGATTACACAATAATACGTAACTCCATAATCGACTAAGGGATTTAACTAGTGATTATAACATTGTACATTTAATTTTAAAGGACACTATCATCGTCAGTTTATATCAAAAACCCTTATGCCCTAGGATTCATTAGCCGGAATTTGGTCGATTTCAACAGTATATCAGTCATTAAATTATCCAGCCCTATTGGTAATCCAACTGTATATATATATATATATATATATATACATAATGTAGGGTAGCATGGCTTTAGTAAACAAATTTAGATTAATAAAGTAGGATTTTTTTTATAGTAATTTCTAAAAGAATCGCAGATCACTGTTTTATGACTGATTTTGAAGTCGATCAATAGGCTTCAAATCACCGTTGGTAACATTTAATCTCACTTTTCCAGTTAGAAAACTAATTTTATAACTCAACTAATTAACCGTTCCGTCGTGCTATAATTAAGACGGCATTTTTATGCGGAGTTATAGAATTTTTAATGTTAATTACCGTAATTTTTCGACAGTGAAATCATACCCATAATGTATTATTTTAACTCAGTATAGATGGGATTAAAATTAATCTATACATTGCAAGTTTAATAGTTTAATAATTATATTAATTATGGCAAAACATATTTAATAGTAGTGGCCATATAATAGGCCAATATGCTAAGAAAATGAAAATAAAAAACAAATTTAATTTCGTTCGGCGCAAAGAGTTAGAAGTAGTAATAAAGTTAATAATGAAATGTCAAAAGTAAACATTATTTTCTTCCGTTTGCACACTGTAAATCTTTTGCGATTTGCTTCGGTTTTACGACTCGACCGCGTGCACTCGGATCAAATCGAGTGTACAGCAACGCGTACCCGCTGCACGGGTGCACACATGGCTCACACATATTCTAGCGTACAGGCATGTGTACTGGTGAATTATATGCGTTTTCATTATAGCCATAAATTCGCTTAAGAATGGGAAAATGACAAAAAACCATAGCTTGAGTGCTAATTTGGCGAAAAGAGAATTAGTGTTGCATTGGCGAAAACCCGTTGGGAACACATTAAACATATATATAAACGTACACACGCACATCGGGTGCCGACCGTCGAGGGGTGGGCGAAGGTGAGCACTATCTGAGCCTGGCGTCGGTCCAAACGGCCTCGGAATCCACTAAATTGTAGCTTATGTATGGATAACCGTTTCGAAAACGATGGCGAATGCAAAAAGTTTCCTTTTAGTCAGAACACACCGTGAGGGCATTTGTTGTTGGCTCGAGCGCAAACGCCAGAAGGTCTTGCGACTGTAAATCTTCGGCCGTTCAATGTCGTTTGGCAGTAGGGTTAGCCGCCTGGCGTCGCCGTTGCGTTTTGTTACCGTTGGATACTTCCCTCGTACGATTTATAAGCACACGCATGTGTGCATTATTATAACAACGCGTACACACGTATAAATCGCTGTAATATCGTTCGATGTGTCCGAGTCGAAGAAAATATTTGCACGACGTTCGTTTGTGTATTTGCAAGGTTCCTCGCAATTCCTGCACCCCGGGTGAATCGATATCAGGTTGAGAATATGATGCACTCGAGAAACAGATAATCATTTGTTATTTTTGTTTTCGTTTTTCGACATACACCGTTTGTTACGAATCGACAGAAAACAAATTCATATAACAAAATAATATATTCGAGTTATGTAAGTTTTGTACGTTGAATCATCAACGCATCAACGTTGAATCATCCGTTTTAACGCATACATCGAACGCGTAAATGTGTAACGTAACTTGATTTCATGACCAATAGATGAAGTGAGTAGATTGACACGTCCATAATGCGTTTTATCGGCTTACCAACGTGTTCAAAACTCCATTTTTTGAATTTTCTTTTACGATGTTTGACCAAATACATAAGAGTTTCAAAATTACATTTATGAACACAAATTAGATGGTAACTTTTGTATTTTTTAACTGAGTTAAATGTGTTTGAGTAAAGTGTGACTTGTTTTACTGTGATGTTGCATTTAAAATGCATTGGTCTACCTAATTGCGTGGATAGCTAGGTTTTTCTTTAAACTAAAATGGACTCAATGGACACGGCGTTACAATATCTTTGTCATGTTGCTCGAATTTTGAATTGACCTTTTTTTTTCTTTTTTTTTGTAGTTTTTACTGTAACAAAAATGACTATACTAAGACGAATAATTTTCAACCGATTTTCAAGACGTAATTTTCAAAGAGTGACCGCCAAATTCTGTAATTTAAAGCTAATAACTGTCGACCGTTCAAATGCAAAAGCGTTCATTAAATATTTTTTGTGAATTTTTTTTTTAAAGTTTGACCAAATCTGCTTTGATTTATAAAGATTTAACAGTTTTAAAATTAATGCTACAATAATTTACTGAACTTGAAATACGAGTAATATATATATAAGATTATGTAATCTTATATATACGTTTTATTACCCACTCTATTTTATGTAACAAACATACATAACAATTTTTTTTATTATTATTATACTTTTAATATTATATAGCTTCGTGAGACTTATAAAACCCAATTCATAATACGTAGTTATAGTGGCTTGTAATTGTATTATTTTTTTTTATTAACTTCATCAGAATTCAACATTAAAAATTAAAAGTTTTTACCCAACTTTGTATATTATTATTATTAATTTTATATTGATGTATAATATTATAATAATACGGTTATGAAGTCATTTTATTATTTAAGTGCGCTAAGTAGTATAGCTCCCAAATGTCGGTTGAAAGATAAAAAATTATCAACCATTGAGAGAAATTAAAATAAAATAAAAATTCGCAGCAAAAAGAACAATTTAAAGACAAACAAATTATGAACGTCAAAATCCAGTCGGCTCCATTGAAAATATGAGGAGAAAACACACTTACTCCACGTCGTGAAAATGGCCGTCCACGCAGTCGATTTCCGAAAAATAACGTTTTACCACTGTCACCGTTTAGCTCACATACACACACACACATGAATACGTATACACGTGCTATTACGCACTCTTGTTTGCGCAAATGCTTTCTGGCACCATGTTGCCGCCTCAACTGTGTATAATGTGATCTATACCTATATTTATATATTAGATATGCACACACGGTGCACAGTTACGCTCATAACACCGCACTCGCGAACGACACACGTACACACCATCGGGCACGCACTCGCCCACAAATATTCACACACACGTACTTATATTTTTATGTAAATATATACCATACGTCACACGATATTGTATCCGATGTGACCGCGGTCGGTACAATATGTGTTTCGGTCATCTCCGGGGTCGGCAGGGTTTACGGTTAGGCCCGCCTCGCCCCCTTACATCGTCGCGCCCCGTCGATGACTTTCACGTCCAAGGACCATCGACCCGGGATTACAGTGGACACGCTCGCGCCCGGTGACAGCGACATGCTGCCACTCCCCCCTCCCGCCATCAAATATAACCTCGGGCGTGAAACTGCGCACGATGTAATTATCATATTCAATTTTCGCGGAA